GTTTTTAAGTGTTTTTAGTGTGTTTTGAGGTGTTTTTATGTGTCTTAAACAGAAAATCCAAAAATTGAAAAAAATCGAAAAAGAGTGTTTGAAAAACCCAAAAAGAGTTGTTTTTAGAGTCGTTTTTGTTTTTGTGTTTGTTTTTGTCTTAGGATACTTTCCAACACAATGATGAGGATTTGGTTTTTAATTGCATGACTGTTAAAGAAAGTTACAAACATGGGTGGAAGTTTGATATGCTCTTTAGTCTATGCTTAGTTGTAGTTGACATTTACGAATTCACATGTAATCACAAAAAGGAAAAAAAATCAGTTTTTGTAACATGCTTGAAGGAATGAACTCAAACTAACGCTACAACCCTGAGAGACTTGAGCCTAAACTTTATTTGGAGAGTTATTAATCTTGATGTTTTTGTTTTCTAAAGTTGTTGCATGATCCCATTATTTCTTTGCTTGGTTGCTACTTAGAATGCGTTTCATCACTATTGTTCCAAATACTAGAACTCATACCCGTTTCATTCAAAGCATAAAATTGAGTGCATAACATATAACAAGATGAAGTTGTTTAGTTTAAACCAGAGCCAAAAAGCCTTACCCTTTGCATATGTATTGTAGGTTTAACCCCTTTGAGCCCTAGTTAGCCTATTTTCTTTGTTAGCCACATTATCCTTACCTAGCCTAGAATAGGACTATCCATACCCTTGTTCTTAAAGTATAGTGAAGCATGACTTAGAGGGAATTCCTTTTGATCTACAATGTGCAGAAAAACGAGTGTGGGGGAAGGTGTTTCTTTGGAATTCTATGAGGTTGTACATGTAGTGTGCCAAAGAAAGAAAAAGGGCACGAAGAGAAAAAAAAAAAGTAAAAAAAAACCGTGAAAAAGAAAAAAAGAAAAGAAAGAAAAAGAGTTGAAAATAAGTGAGAATGAACTCACAAGTATTGGTTGTTGAAGAAAGGGTCCAAAAGTTTGAATCTAGCCCTAAGTGATGTGTGAATCTTTCCTTCGTGTTTAGAGTTGATTTCTGCATTCAAAAGTGAATTCTAAGTGCGTATTTCATTACTTTGCTTACTATTGCTTTAAAAACTTTTGTTTATCCTTAACCTTTCTTTGTTAGCCAATACCTTAGCCCCGTTACAACCCTTAGACTTCGATCTTGATTGTTATGTGTTTCAATATGTGGAGTTTAAAATTGGTAAGAGCATATGGTATCCCTGGTTCTCACGTCTAAGTAGTGGCATTTCATTCATGAGATCATAGACATGTTAATAATTTCATAAAAGTGCTTTCTTTGTTATAACACATGTGAGTGCTAGTTTTCATGTTTAAATCAATCTTCTCACATATACCTAGTGTAGGGAGTGTAGTCAGAATATCTATGTGAAAATAGAGAGTATATCTAGTAAGGAATTGAGTGAATTCTCTAAGGCATGTTACTACATTCAAAATATTGTTTTAATTGATTAAATGCAAACTAGTGAGTGGTAACTGCGATTAAGTATATGCTCAAGGGTAGGGATAACTAAAATCTGTGGGAGTAGTGATTTTTAACATGTCATGTTGCATTGGAAATCCCTGAGGCAATAGTTGGAAGGTTTAGGTTGTGTTTTGTTTTCTTTGTTTTGCTCGGGGACTAGCAAAAGCTAAGTGGGGGGGAATTTGATAGGAGCATATTTATGCGACTTAGTTAGCTTGTTTTCTTGCATTTACATAGTTAGTTTCTACTTATTATAGTGATTTAAGCTATTTTCGTGTGTTTGTAGGTCCTAATGGCAAACGAGGCAAGAAAGTGCATTTTGGAGCTATTTGGAGCAATTTTGGGCTTGGAATGGATAGCTTGCATATGGAGCAAGGTGGATGGACGATTTGAAGTCAAAAGAGGTTACGAACATGCTACAAATCTAGAGAAAAAAGTTCAAGACAAAGAAGATAAGGAAAGAGTAAGAAACATGGAACATTATCCAAACAACCTTATCTTATCCAAACCTTATCTTATCTTATCCTAACCTAGACTTATTCCACCTTAATTCCAACAGCTAAGAGGACTCTTTTTCACATTAAATCACCTAAACATCTGGTCCTAGAAGCCTTATTTTCGTGCCCTAAGTTTGTGCCACATATCTTATCCCTTGTCTTTCTAGAAACCTGTCACAATACCCTATTCTAGAAGCCCTAAGGATCTGCCACACCCTCTCCTTATTCTCCTTGGTTTCTACCATGTAACTAATCCTTTTTCCAACATGAAACCCTAGCCCTATATATACACATTTATGCCGCACCATAGAGGGGGAGTTTTTAGAGAGAAATCAGAATATTCAAAGGTGTGCCGCAGCAAGGAGAAGGAAGGAAAGGAGAAGCCTTTGCGCCGTGCCTATGCCCAAGCCTTTGGGAGTGTTGGAGCGTCTCTGGGGTGTCTTCTATCCTTGTTTTAGTTTTACAATTATGTTGATTTCGTTGTTAATTTCTACAATTATGTGGAACTAATTTCTTTTTAGTTAGAGGTGAATTCGAAGCCATGATTATATGTTTTATATGAATTGATTACGTCCAGTTATTGTTTCTTGAGACTTGAATGTGATTTGCTTATCTGAGTTATCAAAACTTGTTTATGTATGTTAATTAAGGGTCGACACTTAATTTGCATGCATGAATTTGATGCTCGAGTATAAGGGAGTTTCACCTAATAGTTATGAACTTATATTCATAAGTAGTGGAAGTCACTAGTCATGATTGTGTTAGGTAAATCCTTGGTATGAGTATCATGCTTTTCATAGTTACGAATGCCTCGTCAATGATTATGGTTTTCAAAGAACTTAATGACCTTTGATATGTTTTTCTATCATGCTTTTCATAGTTAGGGAACTTGATAAGAATAATTTGGTTGTGATGCGTATCCCATCCAATTCAATGAGTTAAGGAAAATCTGATAGTTAATTTGTGTTCTTCACGGTTAATTTGGGGCATTGTCATTCATAGTCTAAAGGAATAATAACTGGAAATTGGTTTGTATGCATATGTCATGTGTGGAGATGAACCCTCTAACTAGCCTTTCACCCTTTTCAATTCACCAAATTCGTTTTCATAAAGTTTTTTATGCAAAGTTTCTGTTTTAAGTTCTAAATTCATCAAAAACAATCCCCTTTCCATTGAGTCTTGTTATTTGAGTCAAAATCTGTTTTCTTTTAGTTTCTTAAGTCAAGTAAAGTCTTATTTTCATCAAAATCACTTGTTAGGTCTAGAATTGAGTCTTTTTTATTGTTTGTTGCTGTTTTGAGTGTTTTGAGTCAGTTTTGAGACTATAGAGTCTAATTTAGTGTTTTTAAGTCTTATTTGTGTTGATTAGCATCCCTAGTTAATCCCCGATCTAGAACGATCCCTACTTACATATATACTACAATTGTCAACAATAGGGTTTAATTTGTGTGTCAAGTTAATTTTCACATCAAATGGGTACATATAAAATTAAAAAATTGAAAACATTTTTTCAAAAAGCTAATGGGTACAAACTTATTCTAATTTATTTATTTATTTTGGAAATGTTTTGAATTGAAAATTAGTTAGGAGTTTAATAAAGGAGTGAGTATTAAAATTCTAAATCAATTATTAATTTTTATTTGAAAAAATTATGTAACTGACATGTAAATTTATTATTATATTAATGCTAAGAACTTGGATCAAAATCTAAAAACTAATAAGATTTGAGTCAATGAACATTAGTAATTAAAGATCAGATACTAATTTTTCCTATATATGTGTATGTATAATGAAAAAGGGGACAAAGCGGCGGGCTGGAAGGAAGGTAGACTTAGGTTAGTAAACCTAGTTTATTAATGTTCTTTTTTTTTTTTTTTGAAAAACCGGCTTCCATTAAAAACGGGCCGAAGCCACAATACAACAGAAGCTCAACCAGAGCAAGCCACAAAGGCAACCACAATCATAAGCAAAGGAGGGGGATCAACACAGCAAACCTAGTTTATTAATGTTCTTTTTCAAAAACAAAATAGTCAAAAGAAGGGGTTGAAGTTAAAAAGGCGCCAGGTAGACTAGAAGAAGCGTTGGCTTCCTTTGGGCCTCCTAACCTTAGGACAAAATAATACAATAGAACAAAGGGTTGGGCTTAACAAAAAAAGGTGTGTATATATATATATATATATATATACACACACGTTGAAAACATTGGCATTGTACTGAATGCCCACACACAGATTTTTCAATACCTACAAATGTGATGTAGATTTTGGAAACAAAAAAATTGTATTTTCAAAGTCATGTGATGTAAATTTTAACATGTAACAATGCGAGTTGCTCTATAAATAGAGCACTCGACTGCGATCAAAATACAGAGAGAAAGAAAGGAAAGATCAATAACGTCATTATCTATTCCTACCTCCTTTATTTGTCATCCTTTTATGCTATAGTTACAGTGTAATATTTTACACTTGTTTCTCTCCTGTCACTAGTAAAGGTTATCTCTCTAACTTTTACCTATTTATAACAAAATATATATATATATATATATATATAAAGCCTTTAAGGGAAGAGGTTCTCTTTTGTTCCTTTGACGATTTAGGAAAATAAAGACATCTCATTCGGCAACTCTCCTTGTTCAGAGACTTGGTGGGACTCCCACTATATGCTACTACACTTCGGCAGTCGAAATCTTCATAATTACTTAAGGACTTGGATTTTGCAAGTCCTCAACCGAGAAGCTTTCCTTACTCAGGAACTTGGGGAGCACTGTTTTTGTCAAACTTCAATCCTGAAACTAACGAGCACCCATTGGTGAAGGGACAAGGAGGGCACCCCCCAGGCGGTCAGAAATAAAGCCCAGGAGCGTGGTTCCACCCTTCTGGTCCTAGTGGAATTAATGGTTTCTTAGCCTGATGTCAGTTTCTGGGTTTCTACTGCTGCATTGTTATTTTATTTTATTTTTTTTGCAAATCCCTTAAATGAAATGACGTCGTTTCATTTAGTGTTAAAAAAAATACTCCTTAACCAAACGACGTCGTTTCGTTTAATTGATTAAAAAAAAAAGAAATAATTAAAGGGGGATCACTGTCCCTTGTTACCTCAGCCTTCACACTAGTCAATCATCCCTTCCCTTTTTGAAAACCAATCAGAAATCGTGAGCCCCCAAATCCCAGCAGGCAGCAGGAACTCCTTCAATGCCCCGTCTATCCTGTTTTGTTGTCCTTTATTTCTAGCCTTCAAGCAAAGTCAGCCGCCAACCTCTAGCAGCCAACCCGTTGGTTCGTTTCCACTTTTCTCGCAATTTTTGGGTAAATTTTTTAACTTTCTAATTTATATTATCCCTAATCCTAATTGATTAATTAATACGAAATTTTAGTTAATTAATATAGAATCATAGAGTAATACACTAATATAGTTATTGATTATTGATTATTGCTTATAGGTTTGAATCCTATGAATGATCATTGATGAATGTAATTATTGTTTAGGGTAAAAATTGAATTCTTGGTTATTGATTAATTGATTATTTATATTAATTTAATGAATTGAATTTTTGTTTGTTATCACATCCTAGCCCGGGCCCCCACCACATCCCGGGCTCAACTCTACCATAGCACGATATTGTCCTCTTTAGGTCCCGACCACGATCTCACAATGTTGTTTCTAGGAACTCACACGAGAACTTCCCAGTGGATCACCCATCCTGGGAATGCTTTTACCCGAACTTGCTTAACTTCAGAGTTCCTACGGAACCCGAAGCCAATGAACTCCCAAAAGGCCTCGTGCTAATTGGAGGTGGGAATGTACATATAAGGCATAGAGGATCCTTGCCCCTGGGCAATGTGGGATCTTACAATCCACCACCCCTTCGGGGCCCGATGTCCTCGTTGACACATGTCCCGCCAGGGATTGGCTCTGATACCAAATTGTCACATCCTGGCCCAGGCCCCCACCACATCCTAGGCTCGACTCCACCGTAGCACAATATTGTCCGCTTTGGACCCCGACCATGCCCTCATGGTTTTGTTTCTGGAAAATCAGAGAGAACTTCCCAGTGGGTCACCCATCCTGGGAATGCTCTCGCCCAAACTCACTTAACTTTAGAGTTCCTACAAAACCCGAAGCCAGTGAGCTCTCAAAAGGCCCCGTGCTAATTGGAGGTGGAATGTACATATAAGGCATAGAGGATCCTCACCTCTAGGCGATGTGGGATCTTACATTATTGAATAATTTATATGAATATTGCTATTGATTAATTGAATTGTTAGTTTAATTAGTAGTCATATTGACTATATTATATTTTACTCTAGGATTAAAAGTCTAAGATTTTTTTTTTTTTTTTCATATAGTTATATAATGGAACGATACTATAAGAAACAGTGCTTAAATCCTCCTTAATTCAAATATTCAGGCTAGTCCTTCTTTAAATTTTCCAGGTAGTCCTCCTTCGAATATTGCAAATATTCCTTCTTCGAGTATTTCGGGTAGTTCCAACAAAATGAGGTCATCGAGTTGGATGAAATACTGGTTAATCTTCCTACAGACCCTATACATAGACATCGAATGCTTGATTATCCACCTAATTATCGCGAAGCAATTCATCAATACTATCTCCAAAATAATCCTTGTCAAACTAAAGATCACATCATGCCAAGAAAAGTTAGCAACAATTGGATGCTTTGTCACCCATTGGTTTGATAGTTTTAAGCGGTTAGAGTATAGTATTGTAAAAGATGTTGCATTTTGCTGTTATTGCTATCTTTTCAAGTGTGTTTTTGATAAAGAGGGAAATACCAGAAGTGATATCTTCATTGAGATGGGGTATACAAATTGGAAGAAATGACCTGAAAATTTTCGAGGTCATGAGAGAGGTGTTGGAAGTCTTCATAATAAAGTTTTACAACAAGCTAGAGATTTGATGACGCAAAAGCAACATATTAAAACATTTGTGATTAAGCAAACCATGAAGCTCGCATTAATTATCACTATTTATTAAGTGGCGCACTTGATTGCACAAGATGGTTTTTGCAACATGGTTTGCCTTTTCATGGCCACGATGAATCGTTGAAATCAAGCAATAGAGATAATTATTTGGAGCTTATGCAATTTCTTGCCAATCATAATGATAAAGTTAGTAAGATTGTGTTTGAGAATGCTCTCAAGAATCTTAAGTATACTTCTTTCGATATTCAAAAAGATCTCATCCATGCTTGTGCCATTGAAACTATAGGCGCACTCACTAAAGATATGGAAGATACATATTTTTCTCTTTTGACTAATGGATCATGTGATATTTCAACTAAAGAGCAATTGACGGTGGTATTGCATTTTTTGAACAAAAAAGGAGACGTAATTGAAAGGTTTTTGGGTGTGCAACATGTCTCCTCTACAACTAGTAGCTCGCTTGAAGAGACCATTGAGAGATTATTTGCTACAACAAATTTGAGTGGAGCTAGTAATATGAGAGGTGAGCTAAATGGCCTTAAAGTAAAGATTTTGAATAAGTATCCTCAAGCATTTTATGTTCATTGTTTTGCACATCAGCTTCAACTAGCTCTTGTAGCCATTGCAAAGGGAAGTAGGGTGTTGCCATTTTCTTCAACAATGTTAGTAGTTTGGTCAATATTATTGGATCACGTGTAAGCATCGTGATGCATTTAGAGAGAAACAACAAGAACAAATTAAGAAAACTCTCGATATTGGTGATCTTGAAACGGGTAAAAAGGTTAAATCAAGAAATTAGTCTCATGCGTCCTTGTCACTGTTCTAAAAATCCCTGCCTAGGGCCTAGGGTTTAGGCGGCTAGCTACTGCCCCGATTAATGCCTAAGCATTTGAAAATTAAGAAATGACGCCTAGATCTACTGAGGAGCCCACCTAGACCGCCTAGGCACCCGCTTACCCCACCCAAACCCGCCTAGGTTGCGACTCACTTAGACAGAAAATAGATAACTTTCATTTTACATTTTATTTTTTCCAATAAATTGTAAGAAACACTGAATACTTGAATGAACACACATTATATGCTTGTTCACCATAATTTCATTATGTTCCAATAGTTCATAATATATATTCATTCTATTTTTGAGTTTATGATGAAACTATATATAGTTTAAGCATAAATAGACACTTATTTATACGAAATATAGTAGATTTAGTTAAATCTGCCTAGTCCACCTAGGCTCCCGTCTAGACCCCTCCTAGCCTCCTAGGCGCTAGGCCTTAGCCTGCCGCTTGACTAGCGCCTAACATCTTTTAGAACCTTGGTCCTTGTGAGACACAGTGGAACTCACATTATGGTACTGTAGTTAGTATTGTTGTTATGTTTGAAGTCGTAATAGAGGTACTAGCGAAGCTATAGAAGGACAATAAGGGGCGGCCGCCCCTCCGTTCGTCGAAAATCGCCACTGTAAGTACGAATTCTACTCTTCTGATCTTTCTAACATGCAAGAAACTGGGTATGCTTTTGGGTTGCAGCTTTGCACTTATACTGCTGCGCTTATGGAAGGTTTGATGCTACCCTTCAACAATATGTCGCCCGTCGGTTCTAGAAAGTTGAAGCTTAGACGAAGAGACTGAGAGATAGCTAGACAGAATGAGAGATAGCTTGAGAGACTAAAAGGAAGAAAGGGCTAGAGAAAGCAAGACGGTGATGAACTTGGGACGGAAAGAACAAAGTGAAAAGTGATAGAAAAAAAAATGATGATGTAGAGAACCTATGGGTTCTAGAAAGCTATTGGGAACCTTTTTCAGTGTAAAAAAATGCACCAATATTTTCCAATGGTGCCAACCAACCTTATGTTCCCAATATCAGTGTTTTATAACCCGTGTCACCATGACAAGTATTATTTTCATATATCAATATGCTCATTGCCACATGGGTCCTATTACGAATTTAGAATAAATCTCAAATCTTTACAATTATGAAAAATAAAACTGTATATAATTTTAATAGTTTAAGTTTGCTGTGTCGATTCTTACTCAGTGATTGAATGGTTTCGGTTTGCATAGTGAGTTTTCATTATGTAAAGGAATTAGTGATTTTTCAATGGAATTAGTGAAGGTTGGAAGGTGTGAAAGCTACAATTGGTGTTACTGATTGTAACAACTTCGGTGAATATAGCGTTTTATGCTGTGAATATTGTCACAACACTATTGTGTAACAAAATAAGAAATAAATGGTTGAGTGATAGCTTGGTTGTTTACATTTGAGAGGTGTGTTTTTACTTTTATTGATAGTGAGCTTGTTATGCGACGTTTTCAAGACTTGAAAACTCACTGGCAACAATTGTAACTTGTTATTGATGCATTATGAACAAAATTAATATTTTCTATTATCTAAAAGAATTTTGTTGTCTATATTTTTTCAGATGCTTTTTACCGTTTTAAAGTTCACCCCTCCCCTCCACTATTTCTAGCTTCACCACTTTGTGGAGGTGCTTAAATGGATTAAAAATGATGGCAACCAAGACAATTTTGGTGAAGCAAGTAAGTTATTCCATGACATACAAAATTTTGATTTGTGTTTCACCTTTTTCTGATGGCACTTATATTGGGAATTATAAATGAGTTATCACAAACATTACAAAAGAAAGATCAAGAAATTGTGAATGAGATTGCGTTAGTGGAAGTATGCAAGCAAAGACTACAATCCTTGAGAGATGATGACTTTGAGGACTTGCTTGATGATGTACAAAAGTTTTGTGATGAACATGATATTATCGTTCCTAACATGGAGGATTTGCATTTCGTACCTGAAAAATCAAGACGTAAAGCTTCAAGGATCACAAAATTTCATTACTATCGTGTGGACCTCTATCTTCAAGTCCTTGATATGCAACCAAAGGAATTGAATGATCGCTTCAATGAGGTAAACACCAAGTTGCTTCTTTATGTTGTATGTATAAGTCCGATGAATAATTATACATCTTTTGACAAAGCAAAAATTGTTCGTTTAGCTCAACTTTATCCTCAAGATTTTGATCACATGGACCTCATGAATCTTCCAATTCAACTTGACAATTACATTCATGATATGAAGATGCATAATGAGTTTCAATCATTGAGAGGAATTAATGATCTTGCAAAGGAGTTGAAGAAGACCAGGAGGTGTGCCATTGTTGAATCTAGAAATTCTGCAGCTCAAAGAAATGAGAAGGTTTGAGAAAAGTAACATTGGTCCATTCATTAAGTAATTGAGGTTATAGCTCAGAGTCTCTCAATCTGTAAAAGTTTGATTGAGAATATTTGTGCTATAATTGAACCCTCAAGCGACATATCATTTGAGTCACATTTGTTGTGTTAGTGCCACAAGTGAAGAAACTCAACCTTGAGTTGCCGTTCCTGTGAAGACCCAACATCGATCCCCTTGAAGAATTTCATGTTTTCTTTCTTTCCAACAATACATTAAACACAAATCGAATTGTGGTATACAATTGCTATATCCTGCCCAATACATTGCGTGTATAATTAAAGGAGTACAGTTAGGCATAAATTGCTTAATACATTGCGTAACATTGGATTAAGAATGTGCAATTACGGCGATTATGGCAACGGTATATCAAGAGCCACTCAAGTTATTGGATTGAAGCTGGCAATTATTACTCAAACCCAATTGAACAAAGTTGTTCAGATTGGACAAAAAGTGACACAGACAGAAATATACGATTTTCTTTTTACTCGGTCATGCATGACTTCTATAGGTCCGAAGCATGTGTAAGATCCCATACTACGACCCAACTTCAAACAATTTCCATAATTTTGGAATCAATGGTATATTGTAAAGTCGATGATTTCTGTTTAAATATGTCCTGCTCTAGGGAACACTTGTATGAAGACAAACAATCAAAACACAGAGCTTCAACAATCTGTATATCATGTATCAATAATTTTCCAACATACTGAATATTAAATTTCTCCTTAGCTACTCGAAACCTGCACACCTTCCTCTCCCGACCAAACAAAAGAAATAGAAATGAGAGTTACAAAGGTTTCCTAACAAGGCAAAATGTGTAGCAGTTACCAAGACCACCAAAGGCATCCCAAGAACCGCTCATTATATCTCCAAATCGATGCCGCTTCCGCCTTTGAGTAATTTCTTTCAGCGGAGAAAATTTCATCTATATTATATTGGAAAAAAAAATTTAAAGGGTCACGCAAAGCAAGGAAGCAAAAACATACGGGTCAGTGACATGAAAAAAACGATTAACTGGAAGGTGGTGAATTAATGATTACATGAAGAGTTAAATCACTTTACTAACTAAACAAAAGAAGAAAGCCTCGAGGAAATGTGGGAGATGTATAACTATTATATGGAGGAGAACACCTACTCTACATCGTATGGTATAGACTATTATGAACAGTGAACAGAGTAAACACTCAAAAAAGAAAACCTAGAAAAAGTTAACAAATACCTGGTGCAGTTTTGGACGCATGAACTAGAGCTTATTTGGCTCAACTTCAGACCGACCGTCACTTTCAGCATGTTGTGATGGTGCCATTCTCAATGCCTTTTGAGGTCTTCTGTACCACAAAAACGCAAGCCATAATGTCCTCAACAAACCCCCATTAGCAAAGTGTGGGATTAATATTCTCCCCCAAAATGGGTAATATGGACCCGGCAATTTGAGCAGTGTGAAGAAAATTGCCATAAGAATCAGATGCCAGGGAACCTCTGCATCCTGACAATTAAAACCAGACAATAAGAACCGTTCCAATAGAATGAACTCACAGAAGAAAATTGCAGGACGCCTAAGACAACTAATATTGAAAAATGGAGAAACCCTCCGAGTGCTTTACTCCATTATCAAGATATGCAGCAATTCTAAGCGAGGGTATAGAAATGCGAGTTAGGAAAAGTATGTTGTAGTCACCAATCATTTCTAAAGATCGCCTTTTTTCTTTATATAAAAAATTTCTAACGATCTTCTGAATAAGATTTAATCAACAGAGTAAGCCACATTCCTGAAAAACCCCACCCCAACTTTGTACTTGTTCAAATCTTTCTGCCTATGCATAGGAGATTTAAGCAAGGTAACTTTACCTTAAGACGTGGAGAAGCATCCAGTGCTGCCAGTTTAAAGACTTCAGCAATAGCCATTCCAATGAGGACAGGAATAGGAATGAAAAACAACTTCCTTTCATGAGCACAGTAAGACATTTCACTAAGCGAGGAAACTGCAAATAGAGGTACACACAAGTACTTGACAACTGCTAGTATAAGGTCAATGATGAGCTGAACAAAGTTTTGTGCTGCTCTTTTCCAAGGGAAGCTCTTGACAGGTTGTGGAGAACTTTCCCACACTTGTCTTGCTTTATCAATCAGCTGATCAAATTTCATCTTCCCTGAGTCATCTGACTGTCCTGCAGTCATATTTATTGCATGCAAGATATTGTGCCGAGAATTTGAACGCAGCCCATAAGGCTTAAAACTCTGACCAAAGGCATGTATTTCATTACACTGTGCCAAACCCATCTACAATGAAATGAAACTTGTTAACTGAAAGTGCTAGTCGACCCAATCCAACTAAACTCCGTCTAACAAAAATCTATACACCAAACTAGTATCAACATTCATTAGGGCAAGATAATGACTAGAAACAATGTATTGCCAAATTCAATAATTCCTAATTTTGATACATCAGATGTTTGGAGGTTTCTGAATTTATTCCATTAGCAAGCACAAAACGTCTATCTTATATCATAACATGCTTGTGCTGACAAAACTGGAAACATTTTTTTATACAAGCGATATTAGGGAAGGAGTGAGGACTGAGGAGGGAATCAAGCTCAGGACCTCATGTGCGAGGGTGAATGTTTCAGGTTTCTTTATACAAGCAATACTATGGAGGAGGGAATCAAGCTCAGGACCACGTGTGCCAGGGTGAATGCTCAGCCTTTTTTTATACAAGTGATACTAGGGGACGGAGGACATCGAGCTCAGGACCTCATGTGCAAGGGTGAATGCTTCAGATTTGTATAGCGATACTAGGGGAGGAGGGAATCGAGCTCAGGACCTCATGTGTGAGGGTTAATGCTTTGGGTTTGTTTATACAAGCAATATTAGGCGAGGGGAAAAGCATGCTCGAACTCATGTGCAAGGATAAATGCTCTTAACCAACGGTGCTACAAACCCCTTGCAAAAAATAGACCCATTTTATACAATTCTTTACCCCAATTGACCAAACATATCAACACAAACTAACAACAGCAAAGCCTTATACCACTAAATGAGATCGGCTATATGAATCGTAGAACACCATTGCGCTCGGTTATATCAACACAAACTAAGAGAATAAATAAAAAATTAAAAAATTAAAATTCACATACAAATTCTAGAAACCCATTTCCTAATATTCAAAATCAAGAATATTTCATTTTTAAGAAGGGGCAGAAAGGGAAGAGAAATTACAAAACCTACCTTGAGCCCATGGGAAGAAGGAGAAGGGTGAGGCCCGAACGCCATTTTAGTGGAGGATTGGAGGTGGGAGGACGCAGATAATAAGTGAGAAGGATAAAGGGTCGCCATTGCTGCTTCCGATGCTCGAGCAATGTCCAGAGAACTAAAACATAAATAAAATTACAATTCGGTGATAATTTCTTTGATTCGAAACGCCATGGATGGTTTGGTAAAGGAGGATAAGATGCTGAAGAAACGCTTCGATGTTAAGAGCGATTTGCAGACTGTCTCTTGGGTGAGGAAGGGTTTAAGAGGAATAAAGCCAGGATCCGGTACTGGCGCCACTTGTAAGCGTGGCGCCCACTATGCCTTCGAGTAAAAGGCCGGCAGTTAATGGGCCTCTCACGGGCCCAGTTTGCAAGCTATGAGTGAGTTTATCATGAACTTTTTACCCACATTCCTTTAAATGGACTTTTACAAAGTCTTTGATATTTTTTAACAAATGATATTATCTACCACTTAGTACTACGGTGTAGTGGTATTTCTTTTACTTCTAAGTGAGAGGCCTTAGGTTCGATTCTCACCAAAAGGTAAATTTAAACCACATTATTGCTAGTCCATTATGAGATTAAACTCACCCCTCTCCCTTAGTATAGATAATATTGTGTGTTAAAAAAAAAAAAAGGTATTATCCTCACTAAGACCATCTCTAACCTTTGGAGTAAAACCTAAAATTTTTAGGCCTAAAAATTTAGGTTTTAACCCAGAAATAGTTTTTCTGCTCCAATCCTTCTGCCTTAAAATTTTAGCCCCAAATTATTAAAAAATGAATTTAGGCTAATTTTTTTTAATTAACTTTAAAAAAAATATATGTAGACTATCCTAAATTAATTTTATGAACATTTTAACCTAAAAATATTTAAATTCCAATAAATATTGAAAACTCACTAAATCAACACATGAAACTCATAAAACACTATGGAAGAATATGAAACACATGACATAAATGTATAAACACAAAACACATGAAACAAAAATGGGAAGAAAGGTTTTGGAAGGTGGTAGAAAGAAAAATTGGAAGAATTGTAGGAGAAAGGTGAGTTTTGTGTGGATGTTTGAACAAATACATAGGTATTTATAAAAGTTTTTGGGTGAATTATGAGTTAAATTTTTTTTTTAAATTATTTTTGCCGTTTTGATTTAAATTTGGGCAGTTAGATCTTTTTTTATACCGTTGGATTTGATCATATTAAATATCAGCCGTTTGATTCAATGAAATTATAAATATAAAACAAATATACATCTGGACCATTGGTCCATTTGAATTAGAGCCATTGGATTAGGCAAAAGAACCGTTAGGCTCCTTCTTCACGCATGCTCGGGTCCTTGCCTGGCGGGTGAGCTTTAATTGCCCTTTCTCACTCTTACATGTGCGCTCCACCACAAATTTTTTGGGGCCACCAGCCAACTTTTCTTTGACCTAACATATTACTAGGGAAGTATGGCATTGTCTCAAGGGATACCGAGAATCCATGAAGAGGAAGATTAGTTTGTCATCAATGGATGACGGGAATACCTCTTATTTCAATAAAAAGAAAAAAAGTTAATAGAACTTTTTCGTTAAAATATTGTCATTTTTCATTACTAAAATTGGTAATGTGAGAGTGAGACACAAAGATGAAGCATAAGGAAGGTAAGACACGGTAAAATATAGGTACAAAATGCACATAAGGTGCTTAGATAAATAAGCCTAAAATCAGAATTCCACCAGGGCTACAGCAGGAGAAAGCATAAGGACCGCATTGTCGAAAGCATTCCAATTACGAAAAACTCTATAGTTCTTCGGAGTACAGGATACTCTAGATTACAAGCCAATCGCTTTTTTAATTAAACCCAGAAATTAAATGAAAATCGGCATTAAAAAACTGAATCAGAAAAATTAAAATTTGAAATTGAAATCTGTAATACTAGAGGTAACCAGAGCAAAGTCCTAGAAATAGTCATGCAGCTCCTGCAAACAGCTTTTCTACACTTTTAACTACCTGCAACAATCAATGGAATGAAACTTATCAGCCAAGGTAATGTTGAAGCCCAAATACAATCCTAAGAAAAACAGATAAACATTCCGTCTCGGGTTATATGAATGAGGAAATGAAGGTCAAGATATTCTCAATAGTGAGATGTATTTTTTTGGACTGACAATGAACGATAAACAACAGAGCCTGCCCGATGTTGTGATGGTCTTATACAATAAAGATGTCACGGGGGAGCAAGCGAAAATGGTGATCATATTATAAAGTTGATCGATCGTATTTATGCAAAAGAGACGCTACTAATATAACAGCAACCAAAATGGCACAAGAGCTAAAGTACCTAGTTTAGATTCGTCTGCTTACTCATGTGCGATGAACTTATATGCTAAGGAAACAAGGGCTGATAAAGAAGCCCTGTGTTTTCTGGAAATCCCATCATCACATTAAGATTCTGTAAGGCTTGACCTGAAGCTCCCTTCACAAGATTATCAATCTGCAACAACAAATTCAAAAGCTTGGCTGTCATGTCAACCAATAACAAAATACGTCCAGAGACTCAGATGGAACTTGGAAGCAGAAATTTTCAAAAGGCAAAGACGGGGAACATAAAACATACAACAGAAATTATTATTGCTCTCCCAGGAATTCTATCAGGAAAGACATTGATGAAACAATAGTTGGATCCTCGAGTATTATGAGTGCGAGGAACAGCTCCTTCCTCCAACACAACTACAAATTCTTCATCCTGAAAAAGGGAAATAGGTTTGTTAAGATTAAGGATAACAACAGTTTCATCCATCGCACCAACACAAGTAGAGAAAAACACATATGATATAGGCATCTAAGCAATATGAACACAAGAATAATGTGCTTCCCACTGCCTACGCTACACTGCAGGGAGATTAAGGGCCACAAGATATGTATGACATGTTTTATTAAAGGGTTTTATCACATTTGGTCCCTCAAATTGAACTTTTCAATCAAAATGGTACCTGAAACTGAAAATCAGTACTTGAAAATGGGTGTTGCACATGCACATCAATTTGGTCCTCCCTTACCATTCTGTTATTTATTATGTTAGTGTTCTGATGTGTCATACGTGTGGGGCCCACGAGTCTAAAAGTATGATTCCAACTAGATTATATAAAAATAATCAGAAATAATTTGTATTTTTTAAACTTCTAAATCTATAAAAACAGAAAAATAAATGAAAAAAGAAAAATGAGGGGTTGCTGAAGCAATGTAGACGCAATGAAATTTGATCCAATTCAAATCAAATTGACATAATAAACATGAACCGCTCCATCTGACCTGCATCTCAATATAAACAAGAAGTTGCAGAAGCAGCAGTGCAACACCACTAGTCCTTGATTCATTGTCTTCTGTTGTCATCAACTCTGAATTAGAAGACAGCTCACCACCACCACTGCCTCAGCCAAAACCTCAATCGGCTGGCCTACCCAGGGCCAATCAACATGGAATTTATGAGGATGCAGACGGTGGTGATGGGGATATGGTAGGGATTCTTTGGAAAGTGATGAATCTTTTGGGGAAAGAGAGGAAGCCGAGAGAGTTTTTGGAATGAGAATGAAGGTTGTGTGATTGAAGAACACGACCACATTTTGGCTCCTGGCACATATTGAGGAGAGCTTGGACAAATACACGATGGCAGATTCAGAGAACGATAAAGATGAGGTCAAACTTTCTGCTTTGTTTCTTAACTTTTGAAACACTTTTTTTTTTTAAATAATTTTTTGACTTGTGGGCCCCACATGTATGCCACGCCAGTACACTAACAGAATAAATAACAGAATCGTAACGGAAGGACTAACTTGATGTGCAATATGCATTTTAAGGGACCAAATTGTTCGATTTTCAATTTCAACAACCATTTTAATTGAAAGTTCAATTTCAGGGACCAAATGTGATACAAACGTTTTTATTCACGCCAATTATTAGAGATGGATGCAATAAGTAGCCAAGCAGCAGAAGAAAAAGTAAAGCAGTATACCTCATAGGATAACTTGAGGTGTTGGTGCAAGTCCTTGAAATTTAGCCCTGGAGCCAGTTCCACATAGATAGTGGATTGCATACCACGACTCTAAATGACAAAGTACAATAGTGCTTAGTCCTTTGTTAGCAAAAAATGAATTGGAAAATATGGATTCTCTAAATGCATATGGGGGTAGTAGTTACCATTGGCATTAGATGTGGAGTAAAACTAACGGTTACTTTTGAACTTGCAGCATCAGATAGTCCCTGCTCAATTTCCGGAACTGCATTTCACAAAAATGATGATCCAGGTCACTACCTAATGTAAGTAATTAAATAAAAACACACATATGACCTCTAGTGTTTAAAGTTTCTACCTCTTCATAAATTGGTGGCAATCATTCCACAAATAAATAACTTTATATAAGTACCAAGAATATCTACTGATTGTTTTTCTTCTGTCAGACAGTTAAAATATAAAGTTTGTATAAATTCAAAATCTTACCATGACGGTGACGAGTAACACCATAAGAATATATGCCCTCGGCTATTTCAGTGTACAAGTTTGCCTCCTTGGCACCACGCCCTGCACGATTAAGCAGGTTTTACAAGTCAACAATGGAGCACTTTGAGTATATAGGGTAAAATTTTGCATGGAAATGTTATAAACTACAATCAAATCCTAACCTGCTCCGCTAACACCAGACTTTGAGTCAATAATAATATTTTTAGGTTCAATGAGATTGGCCTGTGGGAAAAATGCATTAGGAGAACGATAAGGCATACTTGATTATGGTTTCTATTTCAGAGAGTGACACTCTCCTGTCTGTATATAGGTTTATATTTCAGTCACATTGTTACATCTTAAACAGGGAGTGAATTGACCTCGAGCACATATTTCATAAGAACATGTAATTTTCTGAGAACTTAAATATATAACACACACCTTTATCAATGGTACAAGTGGAAGTTGAACAGAAGTTGGATAACAACCAGGGTTAGCAACTAGGCGTGCACCTTTTATCTCCTCCCTCAAAATCTCTGTCAAACCATAGACAACTTCTTTCTGAATCCAAGAAGATAGCCACTTTTTAAAATTAGCAGAGCAATAAGTTCCAAGAAATAAGAGCAAGATGGTGCCTGTGTTTTATAGGTATATACATTTTCTACAAATCCAAAATGCACATTATGACAACAAATTAATCATGTCAGATTTTTTTTTTTTTTTTAATTTTTTTTTAATCAAAGTTGAGGTTTCAATTTATTCCAAGAGCATTGGTTGGTGGACTTTTTTTTTTTTTTTTTGAGAAGATGGTGGACTTAATAATTCCATACAAGTTTTGATATGAAGAGGAGACTATCTTACCTGCAACTCTGGCGCTCTGTGTACCTGACCATACCATTCTTCATACTCCGAGATGTCTCGTAGACGGAAGTCCTGAAAACACCATCACGTAAACATTAAAATGAGAAAGTTTGGAAGCTTTTAAGATACAGTAGAATGCCAACAAACAAATTCCAAAAGCAATGCAAGGTTATCCCATGCATACAGCAGACAGGTCAACAATCTTTAAACTCTTGGGAAGGCCTTTGATAATTTCCTGCAATTGAAACAATAAACATGTGCATGTTAGGAATTGAGGACCAGATGCAGTAAAATGAGAAAGGATTGACACTACAGAGGAAAGAAAAAAACAACTTGTGTGGTTCCATGTGGTAAACAACAAAAAACAGCATCCACATCAGAAAAATCAGCATCCTTGATAGCAACCATTTTTGGTAGATCCTGCCAACACAAAAAGAGAATGATAGCTACTAAAGAATTACCCCAGCCATTAAGGCTCCATTCAATATGCCAATCATATCTTAATTTAAGTCTTTGGTCCTAAGAGAAAACACATTAATCATAACAAAAACTTACTTGAGAAACTAGATGCGGAAACACCGACCCTATTGACTGTCCAGCTTTTCTATCAGCAGTCATCAAGGTAATGCCAAAGTGAGGATGGTTTGCAAGGAGCCGAACAATCTTCCAAAATGAAAGATAATCTCAGTTCATTGCAGGGCAGTAAAAATTATCTCATTATCTTCCCCAATTCAATTCAATATATTAAGTTAGTACTACGGTCTGGTCTAGTGGTATTCTTATGTTGTGAGGTTTAGCCAACTTTCCACTCCTCAGGTAGATAATATCGAATTTATTCAAAAAAAAGAGGAAACAACTGATTAAGAAAAGGGTTCATACCTCAGAACCAGTGTAACCACTGGCTCCAAGAACACCAAGGCGAACTTCCTTTTCTGCTTTCTGGGTCTTTGTACTCACGGAACATTTAACAAACACCTTCTTCGCATTCCACGTATCGGCCTTCGAACTGCTCACCCCGTCCTGCAATTTCGAAACTTTATCAATAAACTTCAACTTCTTCGAAGAAAGAGACTCAATCCAACAAATCAAAGTTTCTAAATTCACTGAAATTTTACAATGCAGGGTGTAAATGGGCATTTTTTCCCGCATTTTCTGAGAAAACAGACAGACAGCTAGTAGTATAAGGAGTACAGACCTTGCGGAGGCACCCGGTTGGGGAAAAAATGGAGCTGAAAGTCGCAGTGGTCATTCTTCTATCAGAAACTTGCAAAAGCAGCAGCCTTGAAGGATTAAATGATCAAAGGAATGCGAAACCACCAAAAGGGTTTTTCTCTTTTCTTTTATCGGCAGCCAAGAGAAAGTACCTTTTTTCTTTTTTCAATCAGTGACTGAACAGAAAGAGGACAAAAGAAAAGTACCCAAATACACAGCACAAGAGATGGTGTAAGTTTGGAAGGGTTTTAAAATAGAAAATTTTAATAAAAAACTCCCAATATAATTCGTTTTAACGAAAAATCATATTTTACACTAAAAAGTTAATCTTGATACTATTTACTTCACTTTTTATTTTGTCTTTATCGTTAAAACTCAAAATTCCTTTTAAAATAACTTAAAGGTCTTTTTTTTAAGATTATTTTTTAGGTTTCAAAAGCACTTCAAAGTATTTTTAATGTTCACTTGCATTTTTATTAACCATTGATTTCAAAAACACTTTCATAAAAAATGTTTTCAGATATTTAAAAACACACTTCCAAACGAGCCCAAAGAAAGCTGAAAATAAATCTTGAACCCCTTTTTTAAAGAACTTGGATTATCTCCCTCTTATTTCTCTCACATCTCATCTCAAACTTTTCATTTAAATCGTTTTCAGTTATCCTCATTCTTCTACGCGTAGCCGTGGTTGCCTTCTCAAGTCGATCTTGACGTCGTAATCTATCTCGAAGGTCTCAAAGCTGTCGAGACAGTAGAAGAAAATTCTTGAATTGTGTCATCGTTCTCATCAATTTGTTCAACAACCCTCGCCTACGTTATACAACAAGGAGGAGGAGATTGGAGGGAAAGAATTATTCTGATATTAGTTTTTATGTTTATACTATTTTTATTTTCGTTCAAATTTCATATACTAATTTAATATAACCTCTCATTCAACCCACTTAAAAGGTTTGGTTTTAAGTGCAGTCAAAAGTTAAATTTGACTCAATTTCTCTTCTATATTTATATTGATTTGCACGATAGGTTTGGTCTTTTGTTTTTTATTACATGTTTGGTTTTTCTTAAAAAAAAAAAAACGAAATGCTTGGCCTATCTTAATCTTAACTTATGCAACACCTACCTCACCACTTGAGTGATTCCCAAGGATGATAATTTGATTTCTGCAACAACATTTCAGTGAGAATTTGTAGCCGGCTTCAAAGGGAAAATCCGAACTTGCATTAACTCATATATTCACAGCTGTTTTATTTACAGAAGGCTGCCTTTTTGTACTTTCTAGTCCTAGAATTGTTAGCAGAAAGCTAACCAGACTCTGGTTTTCTACATGAACAAAATCATCGATCTAAAGCAGAAAATTACGGAGCATATCGGACATTCTTTTCGTTTGAGAATTCTCATCCTTCCTTGACCTTAATGGTGAAGTTTGGGGCATGAGCTCCGACAATCGAATTCTTTCACTGCTTATTTTGTTCTGCAGAAAACAAAATATTGGATCATGCATAAAATCCTTGTGTATCCAAAACATTGGAAGCAGTGAAAAACAAGCTCAAAGATAAAAAATTTATATACCGTAAACTTCAAATCCTGCAATTCTCTATCCATTGGAGTAAGCTTGTTCTTGAGTTGCTCGAGTGCCTCTTCAGCAGCAGACGGGTTTATTTGTGTAGATTGTTTTGTTACTCCAGCAGCCTGAAAGTTAGCTCAAAAGGAAATATAAGAAGCGGTCCTGATTGATTTTGTGATTTTTCGAGAGTGAATGGTTATTAAGTACCAAGTGACCTTTAACATTACCTTCAAAACGTGTACAGAGGCCTAACAATTTCTGTGCTAGTTGCAACTTCTCCTCCTCAGTTTCCTGTAGCAGAATCAATTGCATTGTTAAGCATCAAACTATGAGTTTGATTGCAACCCTCTCTCTTTCTCTCACTCACACACACACACACAAAAGACAACACTAACCTTTAGTTTTGCATCCAATCGTTGCTCCTTATCAAAATCGACAAAAAGGGTTTTCACTAGACAGACATTTTAGAAACTCGTTTTCTTTCATTTTGCTGAAAGCTTACCCTCTAAAGTCTCCAAGAATATTCCATTTCCACAATTTCATCTTGGTGATCCTTGTTATTAGATGCAGATTCCTGCAACAAACTCAGATCAAATAACATTCCTTTAAGAACATCTTCCTTCCTCACTAACTCAGCCTGAAGAGACAAATTTTCAAACACCAGCTCCTTAGCATGGCACTCTAAGCAGTTGACCTCCTGTATAAACTCAGATATTCTCTCTCCAGCTTCACATAGTTCTTGAGACAATTTTTTGACAATAACAAATGGTTCTTCCTTTAAAATATTTTGTAATCTGTTATTCGCTGAGTTCACAGTTTCCACTGAATCAATACACTTCTTAGCTTTCGCACTCAAAATGGTGAGGAGTTCCCCTTGCTTTTCTCAAGAGACAACTTTTTCCCCGAAGAGAACATTCTCTTCCTTCAGTTTGTTAGTACTACTAACAAATATTTGCATCCCTGGCTTTTTGAGCAGAGTTCTTCCATAATAGAAGACTCTGATTGTTTGAGTTCATCCAGTTCAGCACTTTTTGCCCTTAAATGAGTTTCCAGATTAGCCATGTGAGTCTCCAAAGACAAAATTTCATCTTGCAACCGGCAGTTTTCTTTGTCAAAGACATTTATACCACTTAATGAGGATGAAAACTCAGAATTATTCTCCAAGTTTCTAAGAGCCATGTTGTGTTCTGAATTTAACTTCTCTATCTCAGTTTTAAAGGACTCATTTTCCATCTCCAAGCAGTTCAATCTCCTCAAACTTAGGAAGAATGCAAGAGAACCGAGCAGTTTTCTGGCCTGCAACTAACTTTGCATTATCAAATTCTATTTCCATCATCTGTGAGATGGGAAAAAAAAGAAGATGGTAAAGTCCTTGAATGGAAGTATATACATACGAGTGAGTTAAACCTATAAATTTATGATTATGAACAACATGTGAAAACAAAAGAGGTTGGGCAAGGACAATGGATTCAGGAATCAACAGGTATTTTCACTATCTCATAAGGTTGTTATTGCTTTTCTGGTACACATGATAAACAGAAGTCTTAGTCAGAGAATAGGGTAAAGCTTAACCAAGAAACAACAATTATTTGAATTTGGAAATCCAACGTATTACCTCTTTTGTTTGGCACCATGAGACCCAGCTTCCTGCACAATCTGTTGACATGCCTCCAGTTTATGATCTTGAGCTTCCAACTTCACTTTCAATTGCTTCTCTGAGTTGTTCATAGTTGAATGCAGATTAATGACCTGAGTTCTGAGATGTTCCATGCTTTCGTGATTCTGTTGCTCAGACTTGCACATCAGTTTGTTCTCTTCACGTAGTTTGTCCATCTCAGTGTGTACCTCTTTTAAGCTATCAAAGGTAGTTACTATTTCTTTTTTCAGAAGTAGAATGATAACATCTCTACCACTCGCAGCCTTGGAAGGTCTTTCAGACTTCAAATTTTCTCGAGTAATATTGGCACAAATACTCTTCTCCACTTCCAGAGAACACTCGGACATATCAGGCTTATCAGCTATCAGGTCTTCAACAAACTGTTCATTTCTGTTCTGGTCTAGAATTTTTTCCGTTGCTATCTGCAACAATATTTAGGTATAGCAATTACAAAACAGAACACTCTTCCTCTACAACATAGACCCAAAGCTCAAGATCAAGCTATCAGAAAGCAAAATGTTAACTTACCCATCCACCACCCTCTCCTTTGGAGACTTAGAAGCTACTTGTGAATCCTTCCCCTCAGAGCTTGTATGATGCTCCACATTTGTGTTCATGCATGACATAAATGTGGATAAGCCAGTTTTTAGCTCAGCTAGTTTCTCCATTGTCATCAAAATGTTTTTCTCTTTGACATCTTCAAGCTTCTGTTCTATAGTTAATGCATGTTCCTGCTACTCAGAAAGCTCCCGTCTTAGATTGGCACAGGTTCTCTTCAACTCTTCAACTTCCCCATTTAAAGACTGAACTTTTATCTCTGCTTCTGCTATCACAGACTCCCGATCACTGAGAATGGCAACCTTCGTTGAGATCAAGTCTTCTGATTCACTAAGCTGAATACTCTTACACTTTAATGCATCTTCATTACTAAGATTCATCTTTGCTAGTCTGTCCACAACAACGAAAGCAACTGTTGCACAGACTGACGTTTTCCTGATCTGCTCTTCAAGAACCTTCACTCGATTCTCAAGCTTTTCCACTCTCGATGACTTTGCATTCAACTGTGTTGTCAACATGAGCATTTCTTTCTCCTTTTCACAACATTCCTGTTCATGTGCTTCAGTTATAGCCAGTGTTGCTCCTCTCATAGAATTCAGCATGCACTCCACATCACATTTCTTGTTGGTTGCATCCTCCAAACACTTCCTCAGTTCATCAATCAAAAATTCCTTTTCAGAGATGATTCGCATGATTCTTCCAACTTGTTCGGAGATCCAAATCCTTTTCCGTGGAAAGGAATCGGATATAAGGTTAAGTTGATCAGAGGCATCATCTAGTTCCTCACACCCATCAGACAGAACCTCTTCAATCTCACTGTACAATAATGTCCATTCCTGTGACAACATTCTTACTTCCCCATCTTTCTCCTCAAGCTCTTTACTTAACCGTTCATTATCTTCGTTCAACATGAAAAACTTTTCTTGCACCTCCTTCAGTTCCGTTTCCAACATCATTACATTTTTGTTCATCTCCAATTCTTTTAAATGGCCATTTTGAACTTGCTGCTGAAGCATGCCAAGTTCTTCCTGCATACAGACAATCACCTCTGCAGTTTCAGTCTCAACCTGCTTATGCACTTCATCCATTTCTTCTTCATTTGACACTTGAAATGCACGATCACTTTGGTACCACATATTCAGTCTCTTGGCGTTTTCAAGGGAATCAAGCATCCTCTTCAAATTTCCCTGTAATGGTGAGTCTTGGTTGTTTGAGCAGTTCGAAGGTGATAAATCCCTAGACTCCTTAAAGGTCTGTTGCTCCTTTAGAGCCCTCAATTCAAGCTCCCGTTCACTCAAAAGCTTGCTCAGGTCCTCAAGCTCATTGATTGACAGAAGTTGCTGAGACTCGAGAGCTTCAATAACAGATTTAGCCTCCTCCAATTGGCTGCTTGCATCATTACGCTGTTTGCTTATCACAAAAAGTTCTTCATTTGCCAGCTGAAGATCCTTATTTAAGAAATGTACCGTCTCCTCTTGAGAAGTCCTCTCTTCTTTCAAAATGATATTCACTATATCCAGTTCCAGCTGTAAATTTAAAATTTCTTGTGCATGTTTTATTCGAGGGTCAAGCTTCGGTTCCATCTCCTCAATGGGAACAGCATTATGCACCTGAAATCAAAAGGTGGATTAGTGAACCCTTAAAGTAAATTTACTGCTTCCCTTTTCTTTTTCCATACCGTTAAGGAACCCAAGTCAAATATTATTTCAAAAAAAAAGAAAAAAAAATGGAATACCTTTAAAGCTACACAATCATTTTGGTCAATGGGTGTACACTTAAGCTTGTTAAGCATTGTTTGCAGATCATCAATTTCCCTGCAAAATGTGAAAAAGAACAAAATCACGTTGGAAATAAGATATTACTTTAATAGTTACGGATGCCAATATAAAAGGAGAAAACAGGAAGGCCAACTTTTCTAACCTATTGAGTTTTTCATTTTCCTCCAAACAAGTATTTAAGCTGCGCCTGCATTCCTCTAACTCATGGACAGTATTTTTTAACTGAAACCAGGAAAATGAACATGTGAGTGTGAGTAAAATAAAGAAGGGGCTATTTGGATGTCCAGTAAGGCATGACTGAGTTCAACCTCCATATTGAGAGAATCACTATCTCTGTCGGTGCATACGGTTTCCTGTTTCATAAAGGATACATAATTAGAAATAAGAAGTAATAAACCAAACATACATATATTAATATCTAGCCATTCCTTAAGGAAATGCATGGCGAATCCACAAATGGAAAGATATTGCCACCGTGTATGCCAAAATGAATGAAACTGGAAACATAAGGAACCGCAATATAGAATTAAAGTAACCAACCTGAGTTTTCATACTAAAATTTGGGTTGCCATGCTGCTTAGAGTGTCCATCAAGAAATTGAAACAACTGAAAAACAAAAATTGTTTTATTTTGTGATATTGGCTCCAAGCAACATCTCAAATGGGGGCAAAAACATGTCTTCGTTGGATATAAGTACCTGATCTCGCAGTTTAGATACCTCGTCCAAGAGCATCTCTCTCTCTCCTTCTTCATAAAATTCTTCAAATCTATGAATTCCACAGTGAAGAGGTATTTCAATTGATAGGATAGTTAAAAATTGATTGATTATGACAAAAACTACCTTCTAAGTTGGTCCAAAAGCCTTATGTTCTCCAATGCAAACCGAGTGACTTCAGGATTCTTATCAAGTTTTGCTTGAATTAGCTGAATCTCTTCAGAGAGTGCTCTGTTCTCGTCCAGTAAATAAGACTCAACGGGAATAGAACCACTAAGAAGTGACTCCATTTTCTGAATTTTGTCTTCTCGAAACCTTAGCATCATTTTAGTGCCCCTGGTGTCTTCCTCTCTTTGACAAACCTGTGAGCAATGAAAGCTAAGGAGTTCAGCCACAATTTACAAGAGTAAAAAATAAAGAAAAAAAATAATAATCTTAAGAAAAGACTCCTCAAATACCAAATGGTTCAGCTGCTCATTTTCAGCTTCAAGTTGCTTGATGGTAGCTTCTGCCATCTGCTCTCTTCTCAAGGCACCCGCAAGCGTTGTCTCCAAAGATTTTAACTGATTTACCATAATTTTCAGCCAATGTGATGATTTGCAATACAAAAGAAAATAAGTGGCACGGCTCATGGTAAACGAAACAGTAGTACACCAGTCTCAGAAGTCACAACTAAAATGGGAAAAATTGAATCTAATGGTGATTAAGTGTTTTTCTTTTTGTCTGGGATGCTTGTATATGAAGTTTGTATAGTCTGAGCACCCTGTTATGTCATTAACTTGAAGCACCAGTAACTTAACATGATATTAGAGATGAAACATCCGTACAACAAACATAGGTTCAATCAACTTTTCCAGTCAATACGCAAACAAACTAGCGTGGTCATATTCTAGGCAACTAAGAGGAAGCATACCTTTTTGGTGGAAAGTCTCACAGCTCCTTTTGATTGATTTTCAAGAAAATCATCATCGCACTCTAGGTCCATATCACATAAGTTTTCACCACAATCAATTTTTCGGACTCTTTGTGTGTCTTCAAAATTGGTCGAACGAAACGACAAAGGTCGGGAGACATTATGACGCTTAAGAATGGAAAGTTGCTCCTGTTGCAGAAATCATGTCATGATTTTAACTATTAGTTATTTGATATAAGTGAACATAAAAAAACACAGATAATCATTACCACCTTTAGGAGCCGTATTTGGTGTTGTAGGGCCATGACGTCGCCTGTGGCATCCTCATTCACCACAGCCTGCACAATGAAACAGAGAAATATATTCGTCAACAAATTGACGCATGATTCCATTAAATACTCCTTAGTCTGCACTGCTTACGGCATGAAGCTTACATTGTTTTGAATAAGTTTTGCTCTCTGAGCAAACTTAAGGGTACTCAGCGTTTCAGCAGCACAACTGTGACAAAAAAAAGAACATAATATTGGTAATATGTACAAAATGTTTCTTCTAAGTTTTGTGGCTTGAAATGATTTTAACACTAACCAAAATAAAATTGAGGTAAGAACGAACCAGATAGATGGGCTGACATTTGCAATGATCATTGTTTTTGAGTTTCCCCCAAGTGAGTCCTGCATTTATTTGGTATGAAGAGTAACATTATGCTAAGAAATTTAACAATTGACTGAGGCAGAGAAGATGGAATTACAATCAACCTGTAGTAGGAAGGTTAGCCTAGAGTCTCTGTAAGGTACATGCTTCAACTTCCCATGTGCCATATCCACTAGAACCATTATAACATGACTACAAAGGACATATTTACCATTATCATTGCGAAGGCAAGAACAAGAAACACATGAATACAGATAGAACCAAGGGAATAACTGAAAAAAATTACCCTAGTGTAGATAGTGATTTATTAATGTTAGCAGCTTCCTTCAACCGCTCACCCTCCGCACCAGAAGTTTTCTGCCTGCAAAATATTATTGGGTTGGGATTAATTCAAGAAAAAACGGGTTGGTGGAAGGATATAATATGTAATTTTATACACACAGAAACACATATATCAACAAGTTTGAGCCTGATACCGCACCTTTCTGAACCAGCCAGATCAACTAGGTTTAGTCTAGCAAACCGTAGGTTAGTTGTGGAATCTTTTTCCCACCTACTCTCAATTACACAAGTAAAGACACTGTGCGAACGACTGCTTTCTCTATTCATATTTGTTGCAGCAACTTTCCTATTTGAAGAACCCTGTGGAACAGATTACATTTTAATTCAGACATGCATGCATCTGTGTATTTATGCAGAAAAAAAAAAAAAAACAAAACAAAACAAAAAAAACCTCTGCCTCTAACTTAGCAAGATAATGATCAATTAGTGGGGAACCTGAATGAGAAGCCTGAGGATATCGCTCACAGTATAGACTTCAAATTCAGAAAGATTTTCTACATAAACACCCTTCTTAACATCTTCCCGCAGCTTAAAACAAAAAATAAATTATAAAATAATAAGAAATACTTCAAGATAACCATAGGCCATGCACTTCTAAAAGAATCAGCTTACAAGCAAATTGGTAGATGACGGATCAAGGAGATCCGTAATTTGTTCATTGTAAATTTCTAAGAAAGAGCACTTGCAATTGTATTTTAGTTTCTCATCCCTGCGGATTTCCTCTTCCTGAAGTTGGAAGTAAAGTCAGATAGTGAGAAATTTAAGCATTTCTCACATATAACCAAAAGGATAAAGTAGAAATAAGAAAGTAACAATTAAATGATATTACAGCTTGGATCCTTGCAAATAAAAACTCAAAAATTCGGGGTGTCATTCCACGATTTGGACTGGGCTTCGTTTCTAAATCATCAATCTCCCCAAGCATTGTATGTGTTTTTCCACTTCCTGTCTGCAAATCAAAGCCCAATTATTACAAAAAAACCACTGGAATAATAGGAAATTGATTATCATAGGCGTAACATGTTTCAACTGAATAAGAACAATCATTAAGTTATGAGAATTATATGACGTGCTATTGCAGACTCAATCCTCCTACGCCATCATGGTCAGAAAAATTCTATCATAAGATATAATTCATCCTATTTTGACCATTTGAAGCAAGAACAGGAATTATATACGAGGCAAAATGACTGAATAGAGAAATTGGATTAAACAAATAGGACTAGGTAAGCATCAAAGAGATATCTCCACCTCCCTTTAGTAGCATGACAAATAAAAGTTCAAACATTGAAGTGAGAATTTTAAGCCTTCTTAATTTTACTAATACAGGATTTTGCAGAGTTCTGCCAGTGTTTATGTAAATTGAACATATTAACAGTCAAATTCAGCAGATTATAAGCGTGGTTTTCATGGTTGCATTAACTTCACATTAATAATGCTAACAGTTTTCATGATTAAACAGCTCCTTGAGATTACCTGACCGTAGGCAAACATACAACTATTATATCCTGACAAGCAATTCTCTACCATGGGTAGACCAGCCATCCTGAAAAGCATTTGCTGCAGAACTCAAAAAGTTAAAACCACTGGTAACTATAGTGAATGAGTAGAAGAGTAAGAAAAAGAAGATACCATATAATACTATAATTTGGTCGCAAATCACACCTGGTCAACTGTTTCACAGGCTACATGATCAAATGTAAATCGACTTTCTGGTTGCCCAATCCAGGAAATTGTCTGAGCACTTTCTTGCTTCAAACACCTGCTGTAACCATGTAAACTTCGCTCCATGCTATTGAGAGGACGAACACGAATGAGAACCTAAATCAAATTTACAATACCATTAGCATAACTTGCATACGGCTAAAAATTCACAAACTCGACATGTCCAGTTCACTTCCTTTAATCATCAAAGCCAAATGAGCATTGAACTGTAGAAAACATTAAACGAAAACCACTAAATGTATGTCAAAATTGGATAAAAACTGAGTTTTTACCTGTACATTGTGATCCATCCAGAAAGATGGATCTTCCTTGAGATCAAAGTGAGGCACTTCGACTGTATTAACCACCGTATACGGACTGTAAGAAATGGGAATCCCTTTATACAATGCAGCAAAGTTCCCTACTCGAGGACCAACACTTCCATCAGCCTTATTCTGAAAACCCACATTCGGAGGCTTCGACACAGTCTTGGACGGTGTTGTCTGCGTTGAATTACTCCCCGAATAACTCGAAGCAGCTCTACCAACTGTCCTCATCACCCGAGGAGTCACATTTCCCAAACCCCCATTTCCAGCACCGCCACTCCCTCTGCTCACTTGGGTTGAACAATTAGCCCCGTCCTCGTGCGAATCACCGGCGATCGTACTACTGGGTTCCGTCTTTTGGGCCCACCCAAATCGCTTCGGGGTACCATACTTATCGGGGGTTCGAAGAGGCAACGCCGGATCCGAAACTTTGGCCTTGGAAGCCTTGGTTGGAGTATTTTCAACCCTGGTCCGAATACCCACTTCTTGTTCCGGCTTGGGTAGTTGGGCCGGATCTTGAATCGGGTTAAATGGAGTTCTCGAAGACTCTGAGCGGACTCGGATCGCCGAAAAGTCCTTCAGGCTTACCGGCACGTTCTCGGCCTCTTCTTTCTTCCCGGAATTCGAACGCAGGAATTTGAAATCCCTTAACATCCTAATGCCCAGAAATTCAACAAATACAAGATGGGTTTCGTTAGATAAACAGATCGATACATATACATATATATATATATGTATGTATGTATGTATGTATATATATATTTGAATTTATTGCTGAAATTATGCAAATATTTACCTGAAAGATGAATTGAAAAACAAAATCTGAAGCTTCCGAATTGTAAAAATTGATTAAACTGACGAACTTTGGAGGGAAAAACAAGTGGGACTTGATATCATTTGGTTTTGAAATCGAGCATCTTTTTCTCTCTATCTCTACTGTGATAGTTTGAAAGGTGTTTTGAGATTTTTTAACCGAGTTCAAAAAGCTGAATGGATTCGTAGGTTTGAAGGGAACGGCTGAGATTTGATCTTGGTTTGAAATTGGGCACGGTCGCGGTTTTGGGATTTGAATTGCGAGGTCTTTTTGGTAAAAAGGAAAATATGAGCGGGGTAACGTTCAAATTTCAACGGCAGCGTATATAGTTTTGGTGAACATTTTTTATGGTTTGGAAATGGAAAAATACCAAAACACGAAATACAGAGAAAATTGCAACTGGTTTTGATGAAAATTACCCTAAACACCATATTGAAGGATCCTAAATTACCTTATCCTTAAAATAAATATGAACATTAAGAAGACTTGAGTAACATCAAGCAACGCATCGTGATTTATGCTAATAAAATATAATCATCACAAATATTTTAGACGCGTCTTAACGCATAGTTACATAATAATGTGATCAAGAAATTATGCCCCTTGAATGGGATAAAATGTCAAAACGTAAAAAGTTAAGGCTAAGTAAACTTTACACTAGCAAAATTTAGTGTCAGTATTTAACAAATAAGAAAAAATAAGTTTAGTTTCAAAATATGTCACGGCATTTCAATATCCTCACATTCCAGCCCTATACTCTAAATCTTTTAAGCAATTATCCTTGGATGCGGGATTATCTTCACCTCAACGTCGTTGTGAGAGTTTTATTTGAAGGTCTTAGTTTTTTCAGCTCAACTCATTCAAAGTTGGAACAAGTTGCAGCATCCCAATTTACATTGGTCGCATGAGGCTGTAGTCTCTTCTTGTGAGGACACGTATTTGGCATGCGTTTGCAGTCTATCCTTGTGAGGACGTGTATTTAATTTTTTTTTAATTTTTTAATGTTTTAATTTTATTTTTATGGTGCTGAGTTCCTACTAGCTTTTTAGCGCTAGTTTTTGTTGGTTCATCACTTCGTTGTGGCTGATGATTGGAGGACGACATTATATTTTGTGTTGTTGATGTCCATATAGATGAGCTACTTCTAAGAGCGCCACTAGAATCACCAATTTTATTTAGCAAATGAATATCAACAGTATACAAGCTATAATGTTTGCCTACATTTACAAAGTAGCATAACACTTTGTGTACATTATACCAAATGGCAGAACAGTTTGCGTTGTTTCAAATGTAGACCCACTTTAGATCTCAATTATTTCTAACAAGTAAAATTTTATATTATATAATGAACAAATTTGATGAATAAATTTGGTGAGTAAAGTATTACTAATTTTATAAAGCTTATTATATTAACATCCCACATATTATTGATTACCCCCCCCCAATACTTAATACACCCTATAATTACTTTTAAATTAAAATTCATGCTAATACACTCCTACATACTTCCCCATAATACCCTGACTCCCAACACTCTAACATACTCCTTACAGTTTCTACACACTCCACACTTTTCACTTCTTAGGTGCAAGTGAAAAATCATGAAGTATCCTTCTTTTGTTCATTTTAAGTAGGTTTTTATCTCACATGGTCCCTGAAATTGATCTACCCTATCAAGATAGTCAATTGAAATTGAAAATTGATCAATGTAGTCCCTGAAAATGAGTGTCGCAAATCAATGTGGTTCTTCCATCATAATTCTATCAAAATTGACACACCCCGACCTGGAATGTCCACTAGGACTTCGAATCGAGCTATGATGGCCGACACCTGGAAGGTGACGAAGCCATAAAGTGTAGTGATGTGGAACATGTAAATAAATTTAAACCTAAAAGTGTCTAAATACAAGAGTGCACTGTTAGCGAGAATGAACCCATTTTACACGTGATGTCAGAGTATAAGTAAAGTACAGTAAGATAGAATAAGGATTATACCCTCAAAGGTATCCACCTATACTGAGATTTGCCAAGAATCCTTGTTGATAGAAAGCTCAACTACTAAAACCTGGAGGGGCAAAAAAACAAGGGTGAGTGGGCCTAAAAATAAAATTTTATAAAAACCTTTCTGAAAACATTGTAACCCATCTTCATAAAACAAGTATAGTTTCCCGAAAATCATATTATGTATAAGTATGAAACTAAATGCATGCCAACAATAAATGCAGAAATATGCCACAGCAGAATATCTCAATGGCAATATGAATATAATTATGTGCTCAATAATCTATACTAGCACGCAAGTCGGAGTCACTTAATGTGACCTGTACGATTGCACCTATTGCTCATCAATCTATGCTAACACACAAGTCGGAGTCACCTAATGTGACATGTACAACAAGCTAGGTGTAATGATATATGCTCTAGTGCTACGATCACATGAAGGCTAGTGCTATGCGCGGGTCACCTATGAGTCGAAGTCGTCTAATACGACATGTATGACAGGCTAGCACCTAACTTGGATCCAAGGCGAGTGAGCGGTGCGGGAGGTGAATAATCACGTGAAGGCTGGCCCTGACTTAGGGCGGGAGCACTAACATCGGGGTGCAGCACTGATGAGTGAACTATATGAGTATAAGCATGCCATAATGATGCAATAACTCCAATCAACATAATAAACTTACATGAACTTACCTGCGCATCCCGTAGGATCATCTTGGTATTTCACAACAGTGCAACATTTCTCATAACATAATTTTATCATGGCATGAAGTGCATAAATCAATTCAAAATCATTTGTGGAAACTATTAGTCATATATATATATATGTATGTATGTATATATACTATAAAAAGGAAAAGACCCAATCACCTAAGGTCTGCACTACAACTTCTTAGCACGAACATCGATGCGTCATGAATAATCAGCACCAAGAACAATTATCAAATCACGTCTCAGAATTCTTATTGATAGAACACATAACTTACATGAACAAATTCCTAAGGACGTTCTAGAATGGTTTGAAACCCATTAACCAAAAGTCAACCGTCGATTAAAGGTCAGCAATAAGGTCCATAACCCTACGTAACTCAATCCGGAAGATCCGCACCTCGGATTTCCGATCCGTAACTTCCAAAGATCCACATTATGCTTCTAGAACATCATATTAAAGTTTCATTACGATCCAACGTTTGGATTGTTGGAAATGTGCCCTAAAACCAATCATATGATGATACTTTACGGACATTTCAAACTAATGTAGTTTAAAGGGCAAACATTATTGTTTGAGCCGTCTCATATAAATGTTATATGCTTAAACGATAAGTCCAAGGAATATGTGATTGGAAGAATGCGATCTAAAGAAGTTAGATTCATGAGACCATTCTTTCGTTGACACATCCTAAACGTTCCTGATCATAGGATTGTCAATTGGGCATTGACAGTCCGTTAAGATCAGTACGTGCTATGTCTTCTCTCAGGGAGAGTGACTAGTCTCGAGTCATTGGTGTGTGTGACATCAAGACAAGTACGTAGGTGCTCAATAGAGAATGAGTTCACTGAACACGATCAACGAAGAGTTCTCATATTCATGTCACATGAGAACTCATGGTTGGGATAATGCAAATTAGTCTTTTGACCTGAGGCATCACAGTTGTCTTGTGGTTAGGTCCTTAATCTTTGATTATGTCAAAGTCACTCTATCAGGGTGTCCACGGCATCGTCGGGGTTAAGCCACTTAGCCATGGAGGCAAGTGAATGCGCAACAAGGGATCTCTAACCTTCAAACTGTTTGAGGGAGAATACTCTATGATATGATTTGGAATCTCTGGCCAGAGTATGAATGAAATGTTGGAATGCGTTCCAGATCACATTCAAGGTAATCATATAAGCACAAGATTCACATTGGATAGTAGACATGAATAAACTATCAAACCAAACAATGTGGTCAAGAGTATTGTATTAGAGAAAGACCGTATTGCATTTGTAATCCTAAACTGAATAGGTTCTCCACCTCTTCTGATTAGCTTGGGTAACCATGATATGCTGCTAGGTGTCACTCATGGTTTGTGGAAGCCCTAAAAGTGTATTATCACTAACGGGAGAATTGAAAGTAAGTTTCAATTCACAATCGATTTGAAAGAGTTTGAATCGCCCACTGCCTCGCTAAAAGGAACCTAATGGATCGTACACCGTGTAAGGTAGAGTTTGAAGATTCAACGGAGATGAGTAAGAATAATTAAATGGTTTAATTATTTATGGCAAGGATTAATTAATATGATTATTAATCAAACGAATAAGTTCGTTAAAAGACCTCGGGTTAGTTTTGGGCCGCAAGGTCCAATGGGATTTGAATGTCAAGCCCATTAACTCAAGTTGTATGACAACTTGAATAAAACAAAGGGCTTGAAAGCCCAATAAACCTATAGGCTAGCCATGTGTAAAAGAATAGGGCTTTTGGTCCATTAGGTCACTTATTTGAAGGGACTATATAAAGGACTTTATAGCCTAAAATTTACTAAGGGTTATTTTTGGGGAAAGGATGAGAACACAAGCTCTCATTTTCTCTCAAAAATTTTGGCCAATCTAGAGGGGAAAATCTAGCAATCTTACTTCCTCTAGGTCACTCATTTCTTCTTCAATATACCTTGGTGTGGAGACTTAGAGGTTCTCAATTTTGGGAACTTGGAGAAACCTTTTCATCCATCCAAATCCATGGATCCAAGATGCAAGGAATGAAGGCCCTCTCTTTGGGTGATTAGCCTTTGCTTATGCAAAGAAGAATCTACAAAGGTATTGATTTCTCAACTCACTTTATTTTTGAGTTGAGTCTTGGTTCACCTATCTACTAGGCTTTGAATTTCATGGGTAAATGTTTTGTTTTAAGTGCATACAAGCATGATTCCGCCTTTAATTGTTAATTGCATGCTATTGATGTTGCTTAAATGAACATGTTTTTCACAAATTTTCCTTCAATTGGTATCAGAGCCTAAGTCTAGTAGTTGGTGAATCCTTTTGGGTTTTGTAGTTCATAGTTTGTGATTTGAATGTTGTAATTGTTACAAGCTTTATTCTTGCTTCTTTGAATGTAAATTTTGTTAGAAAATTTGCCATCTCAAATGTTGTAGATGTAGTTCA